AATCTCTGGGACCTGGTCAACAAGGACCCGCTGCTCTAGGGTATGGGCTGCGGGAGTCTGTGCTCCTCCCCCACCCTAAAATGTGGTTGGTTCAAGTGGAATCAATCCCGCCCGAGTTAGAGTACCAAACATGCTCAAGAACTGGGAGAGGGTCTCTTGAAGTGCAAGGGTAGCAACATGTGCCTCAGATGCCTACCCCCCAACTAGAGCTACTGGTGGCTCTGGCTGTACCATGTGCTCTAGCTGTACTATGTGCCCCTCCTCGGTCTCTGCCCCAACCCCTCGCGGCTCTAGCAGGGGGCGCGGGTGTCTGATCGTCGGATCCAGCGATATTTGTCCTCACCATCTATGAGAGAATAGAAAGACAAAGATTCAGAATTTCGAAGTCAGCAAATTCGTACGATAAGGAATCAAAGAATTGAAGTTTCCTAACAGTTTTATAGCCTCTCGAAGATAAGTACAGACGTCTCCGTACCGATCCGCGAGACTCTACTAAACCTGCTTATGACTCGTAACACCTATGAACCTAGGGCTCTGATACTAACTTGTCATGACCCCAATCTCCCTCCGTAAAATATCGTGATGGCACCTAGTCTCAAAAACTAGGTAAGCCTAACATACATAAATAATTTAACGTAAACAATAATAAAATATCCAATTTAAACCAATAGCTATTATAAAAAGGACTCCGCAATCCAACTGAACATAATGCCTAAAATCTGGTGATACCGAGTCACAAGCTCTACACAAGTATATTGAACATCCCTATAAAACAGTATCTATAAAAAGGAGAATGAAATAGAAACTAGATAGAGGGTGACTCAAAGGCCTGTGAACACCGGCATGTTTACCTTGAAGTCTCCAATCCAAGCTCGACTCCCTAATGCCCAGATTGGTATGAAGTACCTAGATCTGCACACAAAAATGTGCAGAAGCATAGTATCAGTACACCACAGCAATACCCAATAAGTATCAAGCGTAACCTCAATAGAGTAGTAACGGGGCCAGGTCAAGACACCTACTGGAATAAATAAAGAAACTGAACAGGAATAGTACCATATAATAATGGAAACAATGGAAATGATACTATGAAGAAATATGAAAAGAATAGCTACGAAGAAATTAAGGCAATTAATATATCACGAAAGAAAACACATAATAAGAAATGCCAAGGAAATGATGCATGCAAAAAAAAGTGATGTAAATGAAAGGTATCAACAAGAATTACTACCGAGGTACTGCATTGTAGTCTCATTTCACAAATCATATCACAATATTTTCTTATATCACCGTGGGAGCCTTACATTTAGTTTTGAAAATCATTTTTCCGAAATAGCTACCTGCGTTTTAGCCTACCTTATCACACCGCGTGGCTTCAAATAGTTCCCCTACTAGCAACATGCATATCAAGACCACCTTATCTCACCGCATGCGCATCAACCCCAATCTTTATACCACCGCATTCGCATCAATATCACAATATATCACAAATCGCACCTCAAATGCCCAAAATCAAACTTGCCAAAAGAAGTGAACAACAATAATGTTTCCATAATAAATAGACCATGGCTCAACCACAATATGTATAAGAGACTCAACAATAACAACCGAAAGTGAATATCTCAACAAGAATGATATTTTAATAATTTACAACTCTAACTAGTCAATTATCACATTTAACCCGTGTACCCACTAGTCACTTTGCGTACACGGCCTTCACGTACTATAATTAACACAAAATAATACCATTCCTAAGGGGTAATTCCCCCACAAAAAGTTAGGCAAGACACTTACCTCAAAACACGCTAACTCAATCAACTAATAAGCCTTTTCGCAATTATCCAACTCCAAACGGATCGAATCTAGCTAAAATAACTCTATACCATAAATACAAACCATAGGAAACTATTCCGAATAATAAAGATGCAATCTTCAAAGAAAATCAAAAAGTCAACTCAAAAGTCAACCCCGAGCCCACGACTCGAAACTCAACCAAACTTACAAAATCCGAATACTCATTCGATAACGTGTCTAACCATACAAATATTACTCGATTCTGATGTCAAATCGACCTTCAAATCCCCAAAATACAGTCTATGAAGTTTCACAAATATTTCCCAAATTTTTCAACTCAAAACACTAATTAAATAATAAAAATAATGATGGGTTCATGTATAATAGCCAATTCTGAGTTAGAATCACTTATCCCGATGATTTTCTTTAAAATCACTCTAAAATTCGCCACAAACCGAGCTCTCAAGGTCAAAAGATGAAGAATGAAATTAAACCCTCGAACTCACCCTTTTCTGCCCGGTGATTTCGCATCTGCGGAGCCCTCAGCCGCATCTGCGGCTCTGCACCTGCGGAATTTACATCGCATGTGAGGCCCTCATTTAGGCCCCTGAAATCTCGCACCTGCGGATCCCGCTTGCGCTTCTACGGAGGCCAGCCACTTCTGCGCGTCCGCTTATGCGGATAACTGACCGCACCTGCGGTCCCAGCTGGCCAGGCCAACCTTCGCTTATGCGGCTCACAGGCCGCTTCTGCGGTGCAACACTTGCGGCCCAAAGTGCGCAGCTGCGATTGCACTAGAACCTCAGCAACTTCAATATTCCATTAAGTCCAAAAATGATCCGATTTCAATCCGATTCACACCCGGGGCCCTCCGGACCCCGTGCGAATGTACCAACAAGTTCCAAAATACATAACATACATACTCGAGGCCAAAAATCACATCAAACAACATCGATTCTACGAATCGCAACCCAATTCAAGCCTATTGAAATCATGAACATCCGACTTCCAAAACTAACGTCGATTCATATCAAACCAATTCCGATTGACCTCAAATTTTGCACACAAGTCATAGATTACACAACGAACCTAGTCAGACTTTCAGAATCAGAATGCGACCCAGATATCATTAAAGTCAACTCTCGGTCAAACTTTTCAACCTTCTAACTTTTTCCAATTCAAACCAAAACGACATACAGACCTCCAAATCAATAGCTGAACACGCTGCTAATTCCAAAATCACCATACGAAACTACCGGAACTGTCAAAACTCTATTCCGGAGTCGTCTACACAAAAGTCAAAGTCCGATCAATTTTTTCAACTTAAACCTCCAACTTAGGGATTAAATATCTCATTTCACTCCGAAACTCATCCGTAACCAAAATCAACCACCCCGACAAGTCACATAACCACAATATAATATAGAGAAGGCAATAAATAGGGGAACGAGGCTAAAATACTCAAAATGGCCGGCCGGATCATTACATATTCCTGATTAAAACAATACTAAATACTTAATTTGTTTAACTATTTGATATTATTTTTAAAACTTTACTATTAAGTATTTATTTCCTTCATAACGATTTATTTGTTAACTTTTATATTTTACACAAAAAATACGATAACGTCTCTTTTGTACTGTCAACTAATTATTTTATGATTCATATCTAATTTTTGATTGTTATCTAATAATATATTTACTATACACTTAATAATTGATTAAAATTTGATCCATAATTGAATACTCTAATCGGGTTAGTTAATGAGGACAAGTAGTTTTTGTTCTACACTAAAGAATTCTAAAGAGCAGTAATATCACACTACTCTAAATGGCCATAAACAACATTAACTAACATAAATTAAAATTTAGCATCAGTTTTACTATACTAAAGGGCACTACATAACACTAAAAGGCACTACATAATACTAAAGGGCACTAAACAACGCTAAAGTCACATATTATTATATATAGAACACTAAAGTCACATATAACACTAATTATTCAACAAATGAACAATATACACTTTTCATAAATTTTTGCACGTAAATAAACTAATCCGGATAAAAATAAAAATAAAAATAAAAAATAATCAAAAAAAGCATACAATACAACGACTACTTACTCAATTATATACATGAGTTATACTACAACAGTGATTTGGAATACCTCTTTTTTGAGTTTTTTTAATTGAGAAAGAATGAAGATTTGACCACCGAATAAGCCAATACAAGAGTTTCATTATACGACAACGCCTTGGATCGAGTGTTAGATCGTTAAAATAATCACGGGACAAGATTTTGGGGGAGGAGTGGGTTCCAANGGTATAGCGCATATATTATATGCGCATATGCGCTATACCTATCTGTCTTTTCAGATTCAGGTATAACGCGTCTAATATATGTGATATACTAAAACTTTGACCGCCTTTCGAAAATCAGGTATAGCGCATAAAATACATGCGCTATACCTTAACGGACAAACGTGCCGTTAAAATATGACGCCTATATTTTATACGCTATATATAAAAAGGTTATTAGTTGTTTTTCACCTATTTTGATACTTTGAGTCCAAAAAGCATCATTTTGGTTCTGGACTCAAGAAACGTAAAGACTACCAGGGGGATGGGAGGCAAGGAATGATGACCCTATTACTCTAAAACTGCTCTATTTTTCAGGCCTTTTGTGTATTTGCGTGCAGCTATATATGTCCTGGCTGTTACCTCCAACGAGTCATTTAAGCCTCAGACACAGAAACAAACTCTTTGGACAAAGGGCCAAAAGTGACTTTAGTCACACAAGTCACAGTCTTACTTAACTACAAGAAAGTATGATATTTGCACAATGTTTTAGCTACAAATGAAATATTGTTGACAGAAATGAATAAATGGGAACAATTCTATAAATTTGTTGCTATAGAATAGACTTTTTTGGCAACAAAATTTTATTGTTGGCAAACATGTTAATGTTGTTGTCATATTCTATGATTTAGATAATAAACTTTAAATTTTAAAAATGTTCTAGCAACAACTGTGGTATTGTTGCCAAATTTTAATAAATGGCAACAACTAATTTTAATTGTTGCAAAAAATAGAACTTTTAACATAATAAATTAAAAATATAAATAGAATTGACAACAATAAATTCTTTTTGTTGGCAATACATATTATTTAACCAACAAAGTGGGTGGGTGGTGGCCTAATTTTTTTTAGTTTTCCGCCAAAATCAAACGCGGCAAACCTTTTGCTTTTTAATAACTTTTCTCGAATTTTTAGCGCACTCTCTCGTAACCACCGATCTGGCTAGGGTTTTTCTTATCAGCAATTCTTGAACGAGCTCCTTCTCTGCTTCATCCTCTTCGCTGCATCGTATTACTGCTAATCGGAGAAGAACCGGTAAGAACTCTATTCAAATTGCTGGAATATTGTTTTCTATTGCCTTTTATCGTTGAAGTACTTTGTTGGTTATGGGTATCTTAAATTCTGATTTTCCAGAATACGATTTATAATTTCTTCTCTTCTAATTCCTTATGCTTCAGAAAGAAACTTTGCATAAAGTTTTTCTTTTATTGTTGTCCAATTTCTTGTTCTTTTTGTTAATGGATCTTTTCTATTGTTACTTCTAGCATAATATGAATGTGAAATAATATTTTCTCGAAGGATTTTACGATACGAGATTATATTGAAGGTCAATAGTTTTACACTTCAAGTGTTAATACCGATTTTGTGAGAAGTTTATCAATTACTTGCTGTTATTTCTGGTGTTGGATATGTTTGGTTCATGAAAAGTTTTCTTTATGTCCCCTGTCCAATTTTTGGTTCTTGAATATTTTATTCATGTGTTTTGCTATTCATTGAATCCAACGTAAAGTAAATTTTGGATTAATCATCAGAAGCGTGGAATATTACTAGTAACTGGTCGTAGTACGAGTGATTTGCAATTGTAGATGCTTTCAACTTTGGAAAAAATGCACTGTTTTACTAAGTATTTACATTATTTGAAAAATCTTAGAAAATTAGTATTTCATTCCCTTGCACTCTGTTTATATATGAGAAAGTGTGAAAGAAAACAATTATCCAACCATAGTTGAATCGAATCAAGTTGGCGCTCCTATGCGATTTTTTTAAAGAAGAGCACATACTCTGTCTTGACATTAATACTTCTGTGATTCCCACATTAAACATGAGTCTCAAAGTAGAAATTCTGTCTGCCTAATATACAGAGCTCAAAGTGAAACTTTTATTTGTCTAATATCGTCCACTAATATCCATAGCTTATCTGTTCTAATTATTTGGCTTTCCAGTTCAACTCAAAGCCTTATGTTTCTAAGTATTTCACTTGTACGTTCGACTAGTCCAATAATATAATTCCTTTTAATATGTGTTGCAGCCTATCATGATGATGGATGTGCATGTTTCTAATAATGATGGAATTGTTGATGTAATCTCAAACCCACCACCAGGTAAGTTAATTCATTTGTTAAAATTCTGCCCTATAAAATCTCTAGCTCGTATATGTTATGTATCCAATACTGGAGAGGATACTGATTTGGACCCAGTTGTTAGTGCTGCATTTGTGAAAGTTATTGGAGAAACGTCAAGTTATTGCCGTGGTCAAGGATCGAGATTTAAGTCAACAAGTAGGAGATCCATGAATGGAATATAAGAGAAACTGCAAGCACAACAAAAAGAGGTAGAAGAAGAGCGTCGTAAACGAGATAGTGTAGAATGCCAGCTAAAGGATGTAAAAATTCAGCTTGAGGGGGAGCGGAAAAATCGAGAAGCCATGATGCGTGACCAAAAACTATTGAAAGAGAGCATGATGGCACTAACATCACATATACTAAGTAATGGGGTATTTCAATTACTTGCTTTTGATCCTAAGAATATTTCGTTCAAACTACACAAGAGTAAAAGTGGTAGCATCACTTTATGTGTTAGTCTCGTCACACACAGATATAGAATTCATTAGAGATAAAAACTCTCTTTTTGATGGATCATATTTTCTAAGAATATGAATTTGAAAAAGTTAGTTTAAATCCAAAAAGCTAAGTGGACTTCTCTCTCTCAAGTTTATATTTCTTCACTAGAAATTAAAGTAGTAGGAGTAGTAATTTAGTAAACATGCAAGTAAGCTGTAAGATGGTTTATGTGTTATTTTGTTAGTTTTCTTTCATGTGGTTGCGATAGTGGTTACTGTGAAGTGTTAACAATGTGATATTTATGGGCATCATGACCTATTTCCTTATTATACTTGTTTATCTCTTGAAAACTCTAGGAATTCGATCTATCTTAATAACTGCTGGCAGCAGTTGTTATGCAGTGCTGATACAATTGACATGTGAGTTGATATTTTTGTCCTTGGTACTATAGGGTCATTGCTTCTCTCAAATGTGGTATAGAATTGTAAAATAGATCCCGTCTGGGCTGACAGTTCCATTGTCTTGTGTCGTGATGCTGTTACAGCGAATGATTCTATACCCTCTGATTAAACAGAATTAAACAAAGAGACAGAGAAAAGAAAACACTTTGATTATGGAACAGAAGATATTAAAGTAGTCGAATCCATAAATTACTCTTGTCGCACTATCTCTGTTTCTTCCTTGTTCGTATATAATTCCTTTCCATTGATTTGTACGACAAATTAAGTTATGTAGTTTTATTATGTTTAACAGAATGGAGTTTCTGCTGCAATTCTCAACATTATTTCTAGTTTAAGTGGTTCAGATGACGCAAGTTGTTCAAGACTTATGGATGACATCACGGTAAGAAAACTTTGCCTAACTCTTGTAAAAGTAAATTCCTTTGTTGATATTGTTCACTGTCATGTTTGCATTCTTCTCAATTCAAAAAGAAAAGTTGCATGATCTTGGACCTTTGAAAGGTGATGCGCTTGCTCTTAGGCTTTATAGTGTTATGTTGCAATTTTTTTGTTCTCTGTCATATGAGCTCAAAAAGAAGAGTTGTTTGATCTTGGGCTTTTAAAAGATTCTAGACTAAAATTATATACAGAGAGTATCTTATACTTTGGAGAAAAAAGGTAAAAGAAAATAAAGAAGCCAGGTCTAATGTGATTTTGTGGCGATATGCAAAATCTATAGTACATAGTTAGCTCTCTTCTTCTATATTCTGGTCTCACGATGAAACCTGTCAGTTTTCTGATTCTAGGAAAGTAGCGTACATCACGAAGGTCTAATACCACGACTGTTAACTAGGCTACTAGCTTGTGGGTAGTCAAAACATGCGGACAGGCTTAACTAATGACGAAGTATAATACTAGATCTAAACTGAATATCTGTCTGAAGTAGATAGCAATTCCACTCCCACCCATGGCCATGAAGTCAAGGAGCATCTATGGATACTAACGGGACGCAACCCGACTATCTTATTTGATGAGTTCTTGTTTACTGCTATTATTACAGAGTGTTCCGCAGCACCAATACCATAAAAAATTGTTGTATATGAAACTCTCTTGACCAAAAGGAGCTTTAGGGATCTCAAAAGTCTTCTTTTATCTTAAAATTCAAGTTACTAGTTCCTTTAGAGTCAAAAGATCAATTAATTATGATAACTGTCATAAACTTGGGTTCTGATTACTACTTACTAGTAGCAGAATATAAAATTCATATGCAACTATAATATGTATATATTATAAAAATCTTCTTATATCATTTATTGGTGCCTAAATTCTCTCTTTTGATATGTGTACTTTATAGTTTTTATTTATAAAAGATATAACTATAATTTATCTTCTTTTGTAGGATGAGCATGAGTAAACCAACATAGCTGGCAATATGGTTCATCGATGTACAAGTTACTGGAAGAAAATTTGCTTTTGGGATTGTTATTAGATTAGAAATTATGACTCTAGAGATGTTCTTGTTCTTTTTTGTAAGTATACACATTATGTTTTAGTGGTAGTTAGTTTTGAAAGTATGTAAATAAATACTTAGTGCTTCAGTTGTATTGACTTTTGCAAATATATATCATATATTAATTTATATATACATTTGTGATGTTTTAAAAGATAGAAAATGTGAATTGTTTATGTAGCAACTACATATTTATTATTGTTAGCTGTACAACAAAAAATGTAATATTGTTGGCAAAAAGTGATTTTATATCCACAACATTACTTATTGCTAAAAGCCTTTATAACTAATTATTAACTACCATCCTGCTATTTTTTTGCCACAAGTAATATTGTTAAGAAAAAATAATAATTTATCGCAACAATAATTGTTGTTGCTAAATATTTTCATAAGCCACAAATGTGTGACCAAAAAATAATTTATGGCAACAACATTTTTTGTTGCGTTAAGACATCTTTTTGCAACATCTTTTGTTGTTGCAACAACTTTTCCCATCAGCATTTATTGCAACGACATGCAACAACTTTTCTGTTGTTGCCAAAAGTAATTTTTGCAACAATATTCAATATATGGCAACAAAAAATTTTGTTGCAAATTTCATACTTTCTTGCTACTTGCCAAAAATCCCAGAAAAGCTAATGGTAAAAGTTATGTACAGGATTGGTAAAAAATATGAGGAAGCATGTTTTTGGGACTGAACTAGAAAAGGTTAAAACATGGACTTAGCCTTTTTGTATTTTTCTTAATGTTATCATCACTTTAGGGACCCGTTTGTCCGCTGAGTTTTTTTATTTCAAAAACGTATTTGTCCTTGAAATTCTGTAAGTTTTTCGAGATTTTTCAAAAATAAGTTTTTCAAAAATCAAATTTTTTCTCCACTCACAAAACTGTAATATTTTTTCAAGTGAAATGCATGTCCAAACATAATTTCAAATTTCAAATATAATTTTTCAACTTAACTCCAAAAACATTTTTTTTTTTCAAAAATTACAATTTTTATCTCCAAACTCCTATTATGTTACCTATGCATGGAATAGAGTTTCCTCTTTTTATTAACTTTGAACATGACTTTTCTCCTTAATATAGTAGTATGAAGTGTGAATCAACTCAAACAACTTGTTTAACAAGAAGAAAGAAAGATCCCACATCAGTCCCTAATAATCATTGCTAAGGGTGTAGAATACTTCTATGTTGTTGGTAATCAGAACATTGCCAAACTGAAGACTATCTCTATCAAATGCAAACTTCAGTCCTGAATGCAGTCGCGATTAATTCTGTGGATGTAATAACGATAAAGCAAGGTGACATTCCTCATAATCCTATTATTTCTGATTGCAGTTTATTGTTGAATCAGTTTGGGAACCCAATCATATATTAAGCACAATTACTGATAACAAAACCCAGCGTCGGATCTAATAAAGGAAGGTGCAAAGAAGAAATTTTTTGACGTGCTTAAAATATTGGTAGTTCATCAGATGTTTGCCACTCACGGTGTTTGGGCATAGATTTTAGAGACTATGTTTGAAAAACAAATTATAGTATATAATAATATTAGTAATTTGGAAGTCACTACTAGACTCCCAAAGAGCTCTAATGCTCTCGGTAACTTCCACATATGTATATTATTATATATATATATATATATATACACGTATCTATTTCAATGGCGGATTCACCATTTTTTCAAATTATGGGTGGTCAACTATTTTTGATCTGAAAATTACCATTGAGATAGGGTACTCATAATGTATTTATATGAATTACTAGTTCTTTTACATAAATAATAGTGTTTGGTTCTAAAAGTAACGATGATCTATTTCACCACCAAAAAAAATAGCTCAAACAAATTGTGTACGGACAAAATCGGGGATAAGATTACCCCTGATTTTTCGGTAAAGAAACGAAAAGACAGTCCGATATGGCCTCGGGTAAAGCCGAGGGCTCCCACATGTTAGAACCCAGGAGGGATGAATGATGCGCCAAGAATCGGACACGGCCAAACTTTGGAAGAATCAAGTTCCGGCAAAATAAAGAAGCGAGACTAAAGGAAAGACGGTTGGAAAGGACAAACGAGGGGCCTAAATATCCGCCCTTAACCAGATATTACGGCGCAAATCTCGCTCAATATCAGCGGTGTATCACGGTTTACCAGAAGAGAAAGATTTTTACCTTATTTAGACATGTATTAAGATTAAAACTCCCTACTATATAAAAGGGAGAACCTTTTTATTTTTAGACCACTATTAGCACACATACCAAAGCAATAAAATCAATTTTTATTCTCTAATTATTGTTCAAAGTGTTCTTCAGCTGCTTATTTGTTTAGTTGCAACTGAGCCCGTTTTGAGGGCTTGATCGGAACCAACTTTTAGTGTTGATCATAAAGCCAGGCTTAATCGTCCATCGTGTTTGGTTTGGATCATTTTGTTTTACTTTAATTAGATTATTTATTATTTTTAGATCATTCGTGTTAAATTAAATCATATATCCTTTAAACCGCGTATAAATTCAATTGTTACTCATTTTAAGGGTAAACAGTTTGATGCCTACCGTAGGGCTAAAGATAATAGTGGTGATTTAATACGTATCTCTATAGCACACCATATTTTACACTTGTTCTTTGAAGTTTGATTTCAGATCTATTTTAAATGTCAAATTCTCAGTCTGCTCACTTGAACGTTGACGTCGAGTCAGGACACCATGGTGAAAACAATAACGTGGTGCCAAGGAATGACGCACCCCATGTGGATCCTAATGGTATCCTAATCGCTGACCTAGTCGACGCCAACTCACAATTTGCCATCAATATCAACCTGCCAACTGATCCCAAAAATAGCGTTTGCGGAGCACCCCAGCCATCATCTCGAGAAGTGTCCGAAGGGGAAGGTGATGGAGTAAGCTTATGATTAATTTTTGAAATGCTACAAGCTCAGCAAGTGGCAATAGCACGATTGTAGAGTCAAAATCACACACAGAATACGGCCGAACTCGAGCGGGTTAAAGAAAACGTTTAGAGAGACGAACAGATTGTTATAGAACCAAATGCATTCGAGCATGGAGAGACTTCCGAGGTGATGAAAATGCTCAAAGCACTAATGAAACAGGTGGATTCTGGCGAAAAGAAGATAGAAGCAAATGACAAGAAGGTAGAGACTTACAATTCAAGGGTGGATCAGATCCCGAGAGCGCCTCCAGTATTGAAAGGATCGGATTTCAAAAAGTTCATTTATAGACCTTTTTCCCCGAGCGCGGCACCGAAGCCAATTCTGAAGAGGTTCCGAATAGCCCGATATTCTCAAATATAACGGGACCACATATCCAAACGAGCATGTAACCTCCTATACATACGCAATAAAAGGCAATGACCTAGAAGACAACGAGATCAAATCAGTGTTGCTGAAGAAATTTGGAGAAACCTTATCCAAAATGAGCAATGATATGGTACCATAACTTACCTCCAAAATCTATTGATTCATTAGTTATGCTTCTCAATGCCTTCGTTAAAGTCCATGCCAGTGCTATCAAGGTTGAGACGTCGGACATTTTCAAAGTCAAGCAAAGGAACAATGAGATGCTTAGGGAGTTTGTGTCGAGGTTTCACATAGAACGGATGGACCTGCCCCCAATTGCAGATGATTGGGTCGTTCAAGCGTTTACTCAAGGCCTCAACCCCGAAGTTCTATTGCTTCTCACCAATTGAAACAAAGCTTAGTGTAGTACCCGACGGTTACTTAGGCCGAAGTTCATAACAAGAATCAATCAAAAATCAGAGTCGAGGATGACCAACTGGGCGACACTCGGGGTCTATTTTCCCAAACATAGATAACGACATGTCTAAATGAATTGTGGATCAGGAGCCAAGGCCGACCCGAGATCAGTATCAGCCATACACCTCGGATAGAAGGGGAAATGAACCCGGTCGCCACCCAATCAGGAACAACATGAGAAGCGACCAAGGTCTTGGAAACTGAGGTCTGATGAGTATAGAACAGTTTCGACAGATCACTTGGGGGTAGAGAAGCCTTGAGACTATCGGAATATGACTTCACCATTGATGCAACGAGTATAGTGTCGGCCATCGGCCGCATAAAAGATACCAAATAGCCAAGGCCACTCTAGTACGATCTCGCACAGAGGGATCACAACTTGATATGCAAATACCACAGCATTCACGGTCAGAGGATCGAGGATTGTCGACAACTAAGGGAAGAAGTGGCTAGTCTATTCAACAATGGACATCTTTGGGAATTCCTAAGTGAGCAAGAAAAAAATCATTTCAAAAACAGGGACGCCAACAAACAAATTGAGCAGGAAGAACCTCAACACATGATTAGCATGATCATTGGGGGAGTAGATGTCCCACAAAGGCCAATGATTAAGCGCACCAAAGTTTCAATCACAAGGAAAAAACACACTCAGGACTACGTACTAGAGGGGTCCATCTTGTTCAGTGACGAGAATGCCGATGGAATCATTCAACCTCATAACTATGCATTGGTAATATCAGTACATATTAATAAATCTCGAGTTGAGGGTGTGATGATTGATCCAGGTAGCTCGGCCAATATCATCTGATAGAGATTCATAGAACAACAGGGTTATTGGACCAAATCGTACTGTAGTACGAGTATTGAATGGGTTCAACATGGCATGTGAAACAACGAAGGGCGAAATAACCCTACCGATAAACACCGTGGGAACCACCCAGGAAAAGAAATTTTATGTAATCGAGGGGGATATGAGATATAATTTCTTGTTTGGGAGGCCATAGGTCCACAACATGAGAGTGGTGCCTTCGACCTTGCATCAGGCATTGAATTTTACCATACCAAGGGGAATCAAAATGGTCTAAGGGGAACAAACTTCCGCAAAGGAGATGTTCGTTGTCGAGGAGGTGATCCTGATGCCCGCAATCACAACATCAAAAGGTGAGGAACTAGTCGAAGTGAAAGGAACCAAATAGCAATCACCGGTCCTGACACTGACCGAGCCGGAGGAACAGAGGGAACACTTAATGAATGAGAAAGATGATTTTTGTAACACCTCAAAAAATTTTGAAGTACTTAAGCGCTAATAAGAGAGTTGATGTGTG